TAAACCTTAAGTTCATGAGGAGGGAAAGAAAGTTTGCATCTAAAACATTTCTCCATATATATTTATTTTTATTTTAAGGTTTACGGGACTTCGCTCTCGCTCACTTTTTCGAAGAAAAAGGGATAGGCTAGGGTGCTTAGTGTAAAAAAAATTAAAATTAAATAGACTACTGTCTAATTTATATTTTAAAGTTTATTTTTTAGGGTGAAGCAACCATTACCCTTATTTTTTTTGCTGCTTCGAAATAGAAGGAGCGATGGAGGCGAACGGAAAAAAACTACACAAAATCCTCTTTCTTTAATTCGCTCACTTCATTTTTAACCAGTAATACTTCTGAATGGTGCTGACTTTTCACTGCTGGATAATAGGGAGCAATTACGGTTCATTCCATTTCGTTGGAACCACCTTGGCAATCAGAACAACCATAACATTCATCGCCGTGATCTCTCCAATTTTGTTCTTCTTCCTCTTTTGCTTCTATCAAACTATTACAAATATTAGGATTATCATCAATCACTAAATCAAAGTCCGAGGCATTTTCTTTAATTCAATCGGCTTTGGTTTGTCCTTGGGTTTCATTGTCGAAAGGGATTAGTTTTAAAGTTCCGACAATTCCTTTCTTTATTTGTTGGTTCATTTTTTCTTCCATCTCTGAAATAGTTTTATTCAACATAGGTTTTATTTCACCTAAAAACTTGCCAAAAGTTTTATTAAATATTTCTACTTTTCTTAAATCTGTTGTTGGAAATTTCCTCTTATCATAAGCACTTAAAAATATTAAACTTTCTACTTTACCCTCTTTTATTAATTTCAACAAATCCTCAGCAATCGTTAAAAATGGTGCTTGCTGGTAGAAATTGGGAGAGTTTTTGAGTTCTTGTTGTTTTTTCAAAGTGTTTTCTGTTAAAAAAGGTATTTTCATCAAATGAAAACCATAAGGAGAATATTCAATTATCGATTCTTCCTTTCAAAAAATTTTAAAGAAGTGTTCATCGAAAGAACCGTTGCCCAACACCTTTCATAAAGCATAAGGTTCAGTAGTCTGAATTACTTCATCCCAATCACAAACTATCTTTAATTTCTTATTCGTATTTTTATATTGTTCGTATAGACTGGTTATTGTTTTTTGGTTCATATTTATTTGTTAAAATTTCTAAGGTTGTTTTTTATCTTTATTCATGGCTGTTATTTCACTAGTTTAATAATTAATGTTATTATTATGGCAAAAATGCCTATAATTATTAATGCTCCGTCGGTTATTGTAATACTCATATTATTTTCAATTCTTTACTAAAAAT